GTCGTAGTCGTAGTCGTGGTAGTAGTCGTAGTAGTAGTAGTAGTAGTAGTAGTAGTAGTATCAGTAGTAGTAGTAGTAGTAGTAGTAGTAGTAGTAGTATTAGTAGTAGTAGTAGTAGTAGGTAGTAGTAGTTGATGTTGCTGGTGCTGGTGCTGGTGCTGTTGCTGTTGCTGTTGAAGCTGGTGTTGGTGTTGCTGCTTATGATGCCGTTGTTGTTGCTGACGCTGTTGATGTTGTTTCGTTTGTTGCTGTTTTGCATCACCATTAGTGTGTTTGTTATTATTGTTATTATTGCTTTTATCATGGTTATTATGATTAACATTACTGTTGTACTTCTTACTTCTTTGTCTTACTGTTATTATGCTGAGTATGATTACCACTATTGTTGTTGTTTGTCATTATTCGCAATATCGCTCTTAGTAGTAGTTGTTATTGCTACCTGCATTCTAACTTATAGTCGTGGTATCAGGATTAGTTTTTTGATTGCTCGTATTACCCGTTTTTAAGCAGGAGATGACTATTATTCTCTTCTTCCCAATTATTGTTATTCGTATTGCTATTAGTATTGGCATTAAAAATAGTGCTCGTTTTGCGGTATTCGTATTTGTATTAGTATTGGCATTTGTATGCGCATTGGTATTCGTTTTTGTATTATTGCATGTTTGTATTCTTGTTATGATTGACATTATGATGGGTTTTTGCATCTATACAATGATACGATGAAGACTTCGATATGTATATATATATATAATATACATATGCAGATATACACGCCTATGCATGCGTAGTATGCAGAAATGAGGCTGTAGGGTTGAGGGTTTATTCCCCAAGGACCACGGTTAGAGGGACGAACGGTTAATGATTAACCTTCTTTCTGGATCCATGGACCTCGCTATAGCTGCATTCGTTGTGAGATCAACTTCCCGACTTTGGGGAATTGCACTGCCAATGCAGCGCCATGAGTACTGCGGAAATCGTGCTGCTTGCTGTCTTTTCGCTCATTCAGGCCTCCTTGGCAGAGCCACATTACTTATACCCGCTATTGTTATTAATGTTACTGCTCTCATTTCTGCATTATTACTATATGTTGATTGCTGTTTCTGATTATTGCTGTTGTTGTTTGTAGTTTTGTTCGTATCAGTATCATATCATCATTATTATCGTTATTAGCGCTATCATTGCTATCTTTTTCGTTGCTATTTTTTATTTTACTAAGCCCTTACAGTAGCCCTTTCAGGGAACTCCAAAACCTATTCTAATTATTTAAGGCATTTAAGGCCCGTATATGATTCTTTTTTTTCTTATTTGTTTTCTTCTCCGGGCCCTTGGTGTCGTCTCGATATGGAGATCTCGCCTTTCGGGTTTAGGGTTCAGGGTGTAGGGTTTAGGGTTCAGGGTTTAGGGTGTATGGTTTCGGGTTCGGGGTTTAGGGTTCAGGGTTTAGGGTTCGGGGTTTAGGGTTCAGGGTTTAGGGTTCAGGGTTCAGGGTTTCGTCGCTGCAGTGTCACACGTAACTGTGGATTCGATTCGTTTTCCTGCCACAATCCTGTGTGTTGCCGCCTCCCGAAATGGTACCCGCACCACAGTTTCGCACATTTTTTGTTTGTTGTGACTCGTATGTCCAGTTTCCGCCTCCGAAGTCGTGCTCATGCGAAAGCCCCGTGCGTTTCCGCCTCCCGAAGTCACAGGCTAAAAGAAGCCCTCTTTTCAAGAAGCCCTTGAAAGAAAGACTCTGGAAAGGAACACATCCTGAAACCACTCCAAAAAACCAGAAACACCAAAAAAACCCTCCCCTTTCCAATCATTTATGGCCCGGCCAGGCCGTGGTGGCTGCCGGAGGCCTAGGTCCCTTGGTTCGAATGCCCCTGGGCTGGATCAGATACCCAGGGTTTAGGGCTTAGGGCTTTGTGTTTATGTTTGGGGCCGAAGGACAAGGGGTTGAGGGTCTCAAAATGTGTGTGTGTATATATATATATATGTATATGTATATGTATATAGGA